TGATAACATCAGCAAATCAACAATTTGGAACACCTAAGGAAATAACTGACTCAGGCAAGGATCATTCATGTATTCTAAGCCACTTAATGTAAGGTTAATGAAAAACTGGATATTCACAAGGTGTCAAAGTATCAACATACAGATAACTTCCTATTAAAATGGGGGGAAATGTCATTGTTGAATGGAGGGATTAGACTGTCATCAACTTACTGGAACATTAAAAGTCAGACAGGCATGAGATGTTACGTGATATGAAACATAAAGCACAATCTGTGAAGTCTTTTGCAATTAAATATTTTACCTGAACATAGTCAAGCTCTGAGACCTAACTCTAAGTACATAAGACAGACAGGGGACAAAGAACAAATTTAACCAACCATGAAAAAGCAATCAGATAAATCTAATGCTTGGAAGAATAATGCAGTCTTCTATGGTAATGGTGTCTTCAACAAGTCAATGCCATTAAGGAATGAGAGGGGACATTATTCTAAATTAAGAGACTGAAGAACCCTAACAAATAAAACACATGGCCTCTGACTGGATCATTGTTTGAACAAAACAGTTATAAAATGTACTTGGGAGACAATTTGGGAAATCTGAATATGGTCGGAGTTTATTATATAATAGCAATCTAGTAAGATATGAAATTGGTATCATGGTTATATAGAAAAAGTCCTTACTTTTAAAAAGTACAAATTAGCATATTTAGGAGTAAACATTCATGACATCTGTAATATAAATTAATATTTCCAAAACAAGTATACCAATATGTTAATAAACTTACTTCTAGGTGATGGGATTACACTATTCACTCTTTTCTGTATGTTTGAAAATGTTCATAATAAAGTGAAAACATAAAAGAGAAACAAAATGAAAGAACTAAGTCCGATCACATCACTCTCCTACTCAAAATCCTCCAATAGCTTCACCCAGTATCAAAGCCAAAAATCTTGCAGCACTAGCTCTATGTGATGTGGTCTCTCAGCTCTGACCTCATCTCTTACCACTCTCCCAATCAGTCTGATCCAGCCACACTGGTCTCCTTGTTGTTCTCCAACACATCAGGCATGCTCACACCTTAAGGCCTTTGCCTAGAGCCTCTTCCCCAGATATCTGCACAGTTTAAACCTCACATCCTTCATTTCATTGCTTTTATCTATCTTTTCAGTGAGGTATACTCTCACTAGTCTATGTAAAATTGCAACCTAGCACTCCAGCACTCCCACTGTTCCTTAGCCTGCTCTATACTTTTATTGCCCCATCTCACTGATCACCTTCTAACATACCATATAATTTACCTCAAATATAAGCATCATGAAGGCAAGAACTTCTATTTGTTTACAGATGTAGCCCCAGCACCTAGAACACTACCTGGCACATAGGAAGTACTCAATCAATACTTTTTCCCCCCCCCAAAAAAATTTTTTTTTAAATAATCTCTATACCCAATGTAGGGCTCAAACTCACAACCTCGAAATCAAGAGTCTTGTGCTCCACCGACTGGACCAGCCAGGTGCCCCACTGATCAATATTTTTTTTTTTTAAGCAGGCTCCACACCCAGCGTGGAGCAGAATGCAGGGCTTGAACTCATGACCCTGAGATCAAGACCTGAGCTGAGATCAAGAGTTGGACACTTAACTGACTGAGCCACCCAGGTGCCCCCGATCAGTATCTCTTAAGTGAGTGAATTTAAGTTATAATAATGCCCAGCCATGATACCACTATTACTACTATTGTTGTGTTCTGAACCCAGAAATTAAGGGGCTGTGATATGGGTGAGCGTCATCATCTCTTTCCTCTTTCCTATGGCAAGACGACTCCAGCCAAGTTTATCTTTTGGTTCCCTCACACTTTCTAGTACTCCTTTCTTTCTGTCCTTTGTGCTAATCCTCATGCTGACCCTAAGCCCTCCATCATAGCCATCCCTATTAGGAGAATCAAGCAGATGTGCCTGCCAAATTTTCCAAAGTGTGCTCTCAAACTGCTTACATCCCCTGCCACCCTTCCAAGTCAAAACATCCAGTATAGCTGATCCCAGGTTGAAACTAGGATAAAGGGGCGCCTGGGTGGCTCAGATGGTTAAGCGTCTGCCTTCGGCTCGGGTCATGATCCCGGAGTCCTGGGATCGAGTCCTGCATCGGACTCCCTGCTCCTTGGGAGCCTGCTTCTCCCTCTGCCTCTCTCTCTCTCTCTGTCTCTCATGAATAAATAAAAAATAAAATCTTTAAAAAAAAAAAAGAAACTAGGATAAAATCACTCTCACTGACTTCATGGCATAAATAATCAGCTTTGTCTAGAAGTCCTAGCACTAAGGGGGGGAAAAAAAAAAAAGAAGCCTGTTCATCCAAATAATTCCCAACTGGTGAAAACATGGGTTGTGGGCAAGGGGAATGAACATTTTCAGATAATGATAAGAAGAGGGGAGGGTGGAGTAAGGCAAGGGACCAATACACAAGGGTGACCATGTATGCCTAGGAGCCAATTCCCAGGCTTACATGCTCTAAGCACCTCTTCATTTTCATGGCTGTCCTTCTTTTACCTCTCAGACCACAAATTATCAAAAATCTTTGACATTTTTTCCTCTACCCTCAGTGGTCCTTAAGACTGCAGATTTGTACAAGATAGCTCAGGCAATAGAAACAAAGGAATGGTGTTACACAGAGCAATATAAGGGTTACTCTTTCCAATAATAGGTTATTTCTAAATCAAATGTTCCTTGCTGGGTATTTCTTATATAAGGAAAGGGCCCATCATCTATTTAAAAAAAAAAGATTATTCCATGGAGCGCCCGGGTGGCTCAGTCGTTAAGCGTCTGCCTTCGGCTCAGGTCATGATCCCAGGATCCTGGGATCGAGCCCCGCATCGGGCTTCCTGCTCGGCGGGGAATCTGCTTCTCCCTCTCCCACTCCCCCTGCTTGTGTTCCCTCTCTCGCTGTGTCTCTCTCTGTCAAATAAATAAATAAAAATCTTTAAAAAAAAATTAAAATTGAAAAAAAGATTATTCCAACACTGTCAACCCCCCAGGGATATTTTAATTCAGCTCAAAAGTGTTACCATTATGAGGAATATTTTCATATAAAAATTTCTAAATTCTAAAACTCACATTCAACTAATAATACTTGATGTTATGCAGTAGGTCATCATTATTCACTGTAATATGCTCTGAAACCTACAGTCTCCAAAGCTGTAACCTATATTCTAATTAATTAAGCCCAAGTTAAATTTCAGCTACCCTGTCACTTTAGCAGTTGGCTTCATGTTCTCAAACCCAAAGCAATCATGGTACCTCTTAAATTGTGATAAATACTTCAACTTCTCTTCCTTGTACTAAGAGTGGACTCCCTGGCTGCTGGTAGGAATGGGGAAAGTTGCCATCACTAATTTTTGAACAAAGATGAAGTACTCTTGCCTAAAAACCCTGCCATGTGTCTTGTTTGGTATCAAAATGCTCTAAGTTCTGATCTGATTTCTCTTCTGGAGCATCCCAGATCATGGAAAAAGATAAGCAGAGGCAGTAGGTGGTGTTATCATTTGAGAATCCTAAAAGAAATCGTCTTACTATCCTGAATTTGAGCTCGAGGACAGGAAAAGACCCTCTTTACCAGAGTATCCTCGGTGCCTAGCAAAGCAACAGCATATCATAAACATTCCATATATTAGTATTTCTTGACTAAGTATCCCAGGCAGGTAGACAAATTAGGAAAGCTATACCAAAAGGATGGACAATAGAGTCCTTATTACATTAAAATCCTCCATGCTATCATGAAAGTTATCTTCCTAAAAACATAGATCACTCATTTACAGTTAGTGAGCATTTACTATAGGCTAAGCAGTAAATTAATCCAGAGAAATTATTAAAATACAGACCCCACCCTAAATGGCTCACAATCTGACAAAGGACACAGATATAGTTTATGCTAATATAACCTGATAAGGGCTAGAAGTCTGTGTCAAGTTTTATGAGAACAGAGATTAAGAAATAACTAATTCCACATGGGTGAAGTGCCAGCAAGACTTTACAGAGCAAGTAGCACTTGATCTTAAAGAATAAACAGGAGTCCTCAAGATGAGGAAAAGACAGGTGAGAGGGTTGAGTAAGAAGAGTTTTCTAGTTATAAGGAACTGCATATAAATAAAGGTCTATATATAGTAATGTCTATACCTAAATTCAGGAAATGGCTAGTAATTTAATAGGACTAGAATATTAGATTTGAGGGGGGGAAACCACTAAATATGAGGCTGGAAAGAAAGAATGGGGCTAGATTGTGAAGAGCCTTTTCTGCCATGTTTAGAAGTTTGAATTTTATCCTGCAAAGGTTTCTGAGCAGTGGTCAATTCGATCTCTTTTAGAATATAACAGTAGTAATAATATGAAAGACAGACTGAAAGAGAAATAGAGGCAGACCTAGATAATTATTATAGTGATTTAAGTGAAAAATAATGTAAAATATGCCTCAAGAATTTATCCACGTCCAAAAAAAATTCCTATGGTCATTGCCTATATAATAAAATTCTAACTCAACACAGTACCTTTGACAATCTAAAGTATGCCTACCTTTCCCACTTCACTTCCTGTTCTTTCTTTTCCCTATATCTTACAATCCAGACACATCAGACTATGTACCATTTCTTCAATCGGTTATATACATTCATACTGCCATGTCTTCACGCAGTTTATTTCGAAAGACAACTCTCAACAAACTCCCACTCATCCTTCAAGGACTGGGTTAATAAAGAGTTGTATCTATAAAGTCTTCTCTGATTCCATCTCTCCCAGGGCAAAAATCTATTATGCTTTGCTCTAGGCTTTCACATCACACCATTCATACTACCAATATAGTACTTATCATAGGGCATTGTTTGCTATCCATTTATCTACCTGCTTTGCTAGAATGGCTAGGCTGAAACCAATCATGTACAAATAAAATTCAAATTAAGTTATACATATAAAACCATGAGATTTATCGATGTCTGTGTACACACACACATTTTTTTTTACCTGGTAAAACTTGAATTTGAACCCAAGAATATGACACAGTGTTTGCGGTTCACACATACTCATGTAAGATTCTAATAAAGATATAAAGAAGTCATCATGTTCTGGCCTGCATTCAAACACTTCTAAAATGACATCCAAAACTCTATTGGGATCCAGATTAAAGCATCCTGCAACAGATGAGATACACACAAATTCAAAAGTGATTATACATCATTTCTAATAATTAAACCATTAATTTTCAGGGACAACTTATATAACAAGATAAAATGTTTATAAAAACAACTTCTTTGGGGCTCCTGGGTGGCTCAGTCGGTTAAGCGTCTGCCTTCGGCTCAGGTCATGATCCCAGAGTCCTGGGATCAAGCCCCACGTTGGGCTCCCTGCTGAGCAGGGAGCCTGCTTCTCCCTCTCCCACTCCCCCTGCTTATGTTCCCTCTCTCGCTGTGTCTCCCTCTCTGTCAAATGAATAAATAAAATCTTTAAAACAACTTCTTTTACAAGTTTGCTTCCCCTGCATCAGAAAATAATCTTTATAATTTTCAAGATGATCAAGTCTACTCCCCATGTTTTACAGATGAGAAATATGACTTGCCCAGGATTACAAAGTGGGTTAATGACAGAACTGGGGCTGGAGCCCAGGACCTGCCACACACAGACAAGTAAACTTTCCTTCTGTGCCACACTGTCTCAGGTCTTGATTACTCAGGCTAGTTAAAGAGATCCACATTTTTAATTCTCAGGAAAATACAACAATCAAACAATGCATTTACAAGTTAGGCAACTAAAGGGTTTTCTTTAATATTTCAAGAAGCATTTGGAATGTTGGTAAACAGTTAAAAGTTCAGGTTCATAAAAGCAGAACATCGTTTTTAGAATAATTTCTTAGTTTATCTTACATACACAACAAAACTATAAAATATAAACCGCACCACTGATTTATATCTATGGTTTTTGGCAGCATTCTAAGGAGAAAACAAGTATATTACTGATACTGAAGAGATGAAAGAACACCAAGGAGTTGGGGGCATAACCAAAGAGCGTAGATAACACAAGCAAAGAGAGGAAGAAAACGATCTAGGCAGAGCCAGAAAAGAAAGGAAAAGCAGCATTGAATAGGCGCCAATGGCTACTTATCCTTGCTCATCTCTTGAGGTAAAGCTAAAGAGGGCCAATGGACACAGATTTAGTAGACATTCCTATCAGCCACCCTATTCTTAATACATTATTAATTCCATTTGCATCCAGCTTCACCTGTTACCATATATTATAGTGCAGTCCTATCATATGTGCATTTAATTTATGAGAATTTGCACACAACAAAAAAAGTGAAAGAGGGGCGCCTGGGTGGCTCAGTTGGTTGGGCGACTGCTTTCGGCTCAGGTCATGATCCTGGAGTCCCAGGATCGAGTCCCGCACGGGGCTCCCTGCTCAGCATATCTCCCTCTGACCCTCCCCCCTCTCGTGCGCTCTCTCTCTCTCATGCTCTCTCTCAAATAAATAGAATCTTTAAAAATAAAAAAGTGAAAGAAATAAATCTAAACAATACAGGAGGTTCCACCCACCATTCCTCTCAATAAAACATATGCTTATGACCCAGAGTGAGCACGAAATATCAATCTGCTGTTTCCTCAGTTTATATCAATTCCCATATGCCTTGCACATCAAGCTAAATGGAATTCTAGAATTTTAAATTACATAGTTTTCATTAGACATAGCACCTCCATGCAAGCTAACCACTTCATTGGGGCAAATAAATAAATATTCATTTCTTCTAATGCTGGAGGAAGAAAAAACAACTGTGTTGAACTTAGAAATCTTAGTTCTGAACACTGTATTTTTTAGATGACTTAAGAGATTTTTCAAAGAAAATTCTTATATAACCTATTATAAGAGATTTCCAGAGTTACTTTTATTAACTCCACACTTAGTTACACTGAATGCTATAAAACTAATATCTGATTCACAGTATCTTAGCAATCACTTGGAAAACCAAACTCTCCAAATATAAAAAGTATTTCTTTCCTCGTTTTATGAAATCCCAAGAATATTTTCTTCTATTTCTCACACTAAAGGGAAAAAAGACTAACACAGTGATTATGTCTCACTGAAAAGAGCTCCAGATTTTCATAAATTCTCCAAAGAAATATTTACCTAAAGTTCTGAGAAAAAAACTTCTAAATATTTTTGTCTCTCTAGACCCCGCAAAAGTAGCCTATGAATGTAAAAGTCACTCCAAAATAGCAAATGGAATTTTTAAAGGCTGTTGATGGAAATATAAAATGTAAAATGGCACAACTACTTTGTAAAACTGGCAATTTCCTTAAAAATTAAACTTACAACTACCCTATGACTCAGCCATTACATTCTTATTTACCCAAGAGAAATAAATGTCTATGTTCATACAAAGACTTGTACAAATGTCTTTGATAACAGCTTTATTTATTTTCTTATAACAGCTTTATTTATAATAGTACACTCTCAAATGTCTATCAGCATGTAAACGGACAAACTGTAGCACAGTATAACTGTCGTATATACAGTAGACTACTACTCAGAAATAATAATACAAGCAAAAACGTGGATGAATCACAAATTATGCTGAATGAAAAAAGCCAGACCAAAAAAGAATACTCACTATATGATTCCACTTATAAAAAAAATTCTCGAAAATGCAAACTAATCTATAGTGACAGAAAACAGACCAGTGGTTACCTGGAGAGGGGGAAACAGAGGGGAGGAGGATGAAACACAAAGGGGCAAGAAGAAATTTGGGGGAAGGGGGTAGTGGTAAATGTGCATTATCTAGATTGCTGTGATGTTTTCACAGATGCATACATGTTATAACTCAAACTGTACATTTTTTTTTTAAGATTTTATTTATTT